CATATCGCATGTGATTTGAGTCCATAGATTCGAATTTTTTGTTTGTGATGTTTCCTTTATATCAAGATATCTTCCAATTTTTCTTATTTTATTTTAAGTTTATTTTTGAAGAAATTATGTGAAATATGTTCCAATTTGTCACAGAAAGAATCGTTTTTTCCTAGATCACTTTGTTGGATCAAGCACCACCTCTAGTATAATTTCCACACACACCTCACTTTATTCTTTTTGAGTAATCCTGCTAGCAAACAGACAAACTGAAACAATCACTGGGCAGTGGAAAAAACAGGAACTTTTCAGGCATCTAATTGTTTATTTATTAGCTAATTACTTTGGTGTATGGTGAATTGTCATGGGGGAGGTCTTTATCAGCAAGAAAAGCAATAAAACTTATGAAAATACAGTTAAGAAGTACTAAGTTTAATCCCCTCTTTAAGTTTCCCGGTACCATCCAGTGGGCCGGATTGAAGTCTTTGGTGGTTGCCTGATTTAGACACACATACTCAATATTGATTCCACTCTGCAATGTTTTTAGATGGAGGACGGGCTGGTGAGATGCCAAATTCAGAGATGCTTGGAGTGGTGGAGGACATGGCCCGCAGGCTGCTGACTGAGGAGGAAGTGGCTGCTGTAATGAAGACGTGCAGAAGGGTAGGACGCTGAGTTAAAATCTGTAGGCATACTGAGTGTTTGTGTGTTGACCTCTGTAGTGTCCTCATCCAAGGGAGTAATAAATGCCTTTTTGTCAGATGCCGCTAAAAATGTGTAACAATGTTTTAACAAAAAACAAAACAAAACCCAGGATTCATTAATATTTTCTTAGCTGAATTTGTTTGTTTTCTCCAACTAAATTTCAAACTACCTTAGATCATGAGTGCACATATGATGAAAGTCAGGCTGTGTTTTACTGCCATCCATTCCACAGAAACACTTAGGAAAACTGGATCTTCTTCACAGTCCTCCTCAGACATGATAGTTTCAGTTAATTTTTCCATATATTTACTGTGTTTCTGATTCACTGACATACGCATGTTGGTAAGAACAAAATAGGCTGGTGTGCAGGTGTCTTTAATCCAGTGGTAAATTTGTATGTACAATTACTTTGTGTTTGTGATATTGGAACATTTCTACACAGTGATTAGTAAGTGAAGCCAAGGTGCATTTATGCTTTGATTGATGAGAGGTAACAGTCCTGTTTTAGAGACTTACGATGTGTTAGCGTAGCTGTAGCAGTAGTCTTAGGTTTAGCAGGCAGGAGAAAAGAACATTTTATTGTTTAGGGATTTTTCATTGGCATGAAAACAGGCCAGTTTGCAACATTAACCATGCATGGTGTAAGATCACAGGATAACTGTGAAGTACTGTCTCACTGATGTCATAAGTTGGTGTGTCAGGGCAAAGATGCTAAAGGACACCTTCCCAAGCCAGCAGCTTTGACGCCCTGGGTGTGAGAATGGCCCATTTGGACAGTTTGTTTCAGTGTCCACTTGTAAATGTAAGGAAGTAATAAAAGCTGCTAAATGCTTACTAAATGTATTTACTCTCTCAGTACGTAGCAGATTGTTCAGTGGAAAATCTGATACGTCAACTGCTGGTTGTGCTGGACCGACCTGAAAAGCTGCTGCTGCTTAGAGAAGTGAGGTAAGGACAGGGAAACAATGGCGTTGGAAATGTTTCCAGAGAGGCTGAAGGATTTTTCAGGATAACCATCTCAAACTGAAATCCAAATGTTGCTCATTGAGGAGCTGAAGACTAATTAAAGATGTAAGAACAATGACTCAGCGTATTTTTTGTTCATCCACGTGTCTCAGAATGCTGCTTCCTCCTTCTGATCTGAGTGTATTCAATAACATGGTGACTGCCATTGAAGCCGAGGCCTACGATATCCTCAAGTATCGCTCAGGTGTGTATGAGAATTATCTGATCATGATATTCGAGCACCATCAGAGTCAGAGTTGTTTTCTGATATTACAAACCGTATCTTTTCAGTTAGCCCAAAAATTAGCATTAACTTAACACAGTTTAGTAGGACCTCAGTAGGCCCAGAAATTCTCTGTCCTGTAAAATATGATTATTTTACTCTTTGTCTTATCACCATTTACCACCTTTCTGTAAAGTTGCATTTGTCTTATCTTTCCATTGTAGTCCGGACTCCTCCTCTTCGCTCTCCCATTTCTGGTCGAACACCAAAACGGCGCCTCATCACTCCCATCCCAGGTCAGCACCTCCACTGCTAGACCTTTTCTCGGTCTAGCTTTTCTAAGGATGAAATTCTTTTTTTTTCTTTAAGCATATTGGTGAGACATAAATCCACTCAAGGAGGGATGAAAGGACCAATGAAGTAAAACTATGTTGATGAATGTGATTTTTATATTGGAAAAGTAAAACAGTGTTTATTGGCACTATTGTTTAACCTCTTTTATTGTTATTTATGTTTGATTGAAAAGGTTTGAGATCTTTGGGGGGGTTAAATGGGCTTCCATACTTTCCATTCAACTGTGAAACATTTTCAAACCTCAGCCTGAAGTGAAAGTGTATTGAACTTGAAAATAGTTCCTGTAACAACATTTGTTCTCCTTCTAGATTACCGGGGAGGCTTTGAGCTCCACAGTGCTGAGGAGGTGGAGAAGGAGGGCCACCTGCTGGAGGAGCTGGAGAAGCTCAGCTTGACTGGGCCCCGTGTGTCCAAAGACAGGCTCCACACCTCCAGGTCCTTCACACCTCTGCTGGACATACCGGTGGATGGATACAACACAGAGTCCAGAGACCTCGGACCTCCAGCTGCCAGTCCAGTGCTCCCCAACTGGCTGCTGGCCCGCAGCACCGACTCCAGGCCGCCTCTCCAGACAGAGATCGGCACGATTCGCTCCGTCCATTTTGATGAGGTGTCGCTGCACTCTATTTCAGATAAGGGAGATACGAACTTAGAACAGGGACGGCCGCCATTAAGAAACAGTCGCTCTAAAGGCAAAAAGGAGAAAAGTGGGGACAGGAGTAAAGAAGCCGTGTTTACGCTGCAGAGCGCTGCTCGCAGGAGTCGGCCTTTATTGTCGCAGGTGTTTGGTTCAAATCAGAAACTGGGGAGTGAACAGGTGAATGGTCATCAGGCTTCTTCTGAGGACAGGATCAATGGCAGCGACTCCAAACAGGAGTATGAGCTCCGAACTGTCAGCATCTCCAAGACCAAACAGTCTCTGGGTAAGTAACTTTATTTGATGCCACTCTCACATTCAGAATAACTTTGTACCTAGTTTCCCAAACCAAGTTAAACTGAGGCATTATAAACTTTCATGCGACTAATTACAGAATAATGGAAGTAATTTTTAGCAATGCTTCTGAGCAAGAGATGCTTGGTATACAGCCTTCTCCTTCAGCCATTTAAAAACAATTGGAAAAACAATGTGTGCAGTCTGCTCTCACATATCAAAGTGAAAATTAAAAATCATTTCAATTGCAAATGTTTATCACATATCAGAAAAATAATCCAGTGAAATGTGTTTCTAAAAAAATCTGAGGCTGGAAACAAGCTGACATGCTTGATTTTCATGTGGTAGCCTGCCCCTCGATACCCTGGCTCTCAAAACATAATGCCGAGCTGCAAGAACGCATTGTGTTGCAACAGTATGCATGGAATTGATTGATCCTGTGGAAAACACTGGAAAATACTAACTGTATGACATACATTTTTGTATTTACTTCCTATATTTAGATTAAATATGACATTGTTTATGTATGCCTCCAAGTACGCCTCTGACTTGTGCTGCTGTGATGCTGCAGGTATCAGTATATCTGGTGGGATGGAGTCAAAGGTTCAGCCGGTGGTGAAGATTGAGAAGATCTTTCCTGGAGGAGCTGCCTCCACCTGTGAAGTTCTCAAGGTAACATGACAGTACCAAGCAGAAATCTTATAGAAAGAAGACTTATCAGACCAGGCAGAAATCTTCTATTGTCCAATTTTAGTGATTGCAGCAAATTGCAGCTTCAGTTTCCTGTTCTTACCTAACAGGAGTAGCATGTTGTGTGGGTTTCTGCTGCTGAAGCCCATTCATTTCTAGGTTTGCACTGAGTTGCTGCCATGTGTGATTAGCTGATTAGATATTTGCAAGCAAACAATTGAATAGGTGTACCTAATGAAGTTGCCAATGAGTGTATATAGTTCAGTGCATTTATTCTGTCAGTGTCTGACTGGATCTCCCTCTGTTTCCCAGGCTGGATTTGAGTTGGTGTCTGTGGATGCTGTTTCACTGCAAGGGGTCACCCATCAGCATGCCGTTGACATAATCCGAAAAGCCTTCAGCAATAAGGCCAAAGACCCCATGGAGTTTGTTGTCAAAGTCCCCAAAGATCTTTGAAAGGACTCTGAGATGCTTTTGTGGATTTAGAAAAAATATCCAGTGATAAGCAGCCGCCGGAATTTAACTTGGACACAGGTAAACTTTTACCAGCACACACACTGCTGAGGACTGGTATGCATTTTTTGCCATTCAAGTTAAATTTGGGAACAAGGACACAGAAACTTTCTGAACTGAAGCAAAGCTGCAGATAATATTTAAGAGAAAATGAACAAACCAAAAAGTTGTGTTTGTGTACAAATGAAATCTCTCACTTTTTCACAACCCTGGGGCCAGTGCCCGTCCAGAACATTTTTAACTTGTTTGACCAATATCCATTAGTGCATAACAGATGGAGAACTGTAGGTTATGCTCCTGAATTTTAAACTGTGCAGGATGGCAAACTTTAACTTTTGAGTGCCTTTGAAAGCCCCAGTGGACTGAATATTAATAAGAATCCACGTTAAGGTGGCTTTAAATTCAATTTTCTACCTGAAGAGGGCAGACACGGACCATTCACAATATTCCTGTGGACAGCAGCTAGCAAGAAGGATTTCTGAAAAGTTACACCAGAAAATACTAAATGTAAACAAAGAATTAAAAATGGGAGAAAATACATCTGTACATGGAGGAAAGACCTGGTGTAATAAATACAAACTGACACAGCTGTTAAACTTTTGTCTCTTTTTTTATTATTAAAACCAGAGTGGGTTTGTTCAAGAAATGTACAGCATGAAAATATACATTTAATGTTTTCATACAAATATTGTGGATTATAAAATTATACTGAGGAACCAAAACAAACATCTACACAAACAGTAATATACAGGCATATCTGTAGGAGCAAAATATAGAACGTGGGACATTGCTTTGGTCTATTCACAGTGGCTATGCTTTTATTGTGAGATGAACACATCTCTGGAAGAAAACTTTATCATGTTATGGACAAGTGAGGTTTATTTACATAATAATGGAGGATAATAATGATTCACTCAGCAGTGAGAGAGGAACAGGACGCGTCTCCTCCTGTGGTACAGGGGCGTAAATAAACAGATTCAAGCAGTCGGTGGAAAATTAGTTTGACTTTAAACGAAAACGTCACTTGGTACAAGAGCTCGCCATTTCCGCGATGAGTAATACGGAAACGTTCATAACACTTTATCCACACAGAAAAACGACGACCTCTTTGAGAGTAGTTTCTCCAATTATGATTAAAAAACAAAACAATGATAAAGGGGAAAAACAGTCACAATATACTGTGTGATATAAGAAATTAGGCATTATGATTTCCCTTTAATATCTGGATGTTTGAGGAGATCCAAAACACTGCATCTAATTCCCAACACTGACAACCTCTCCCTTATTTACTTCTGCATGCTCAGCAGCAGGTCCACAACCACAAAATAAGGCTGCTCGATTTAGGCAAAAGCCACAATCATGATAATTTTGGACAAAATCTTGCAATCCTGATTATTTAACATGATTATTGATGATTTAAAACCGTGAATTTGCTAAACCTAAAAAAAAAAGGGGGCTTTTCACATGGGATTTCCTTGACCTTCAGGCTAGTTGGTGCATTTTAAGTTAAACTTACAAAAACTGCTGCTCCTCTTTGGACCAGAGGGAGAGCAGTAGCAGATAACCAGCAAACATCCGGTTAACCATCACTGAAAGAGGACCAGATGAGAAACCCTCAGAGATCCTGTTTGCAGGCAAACACTGATGATCCTTTCACTTCAAACATGTTCTGGAGTTAGAGCTTGTTGACCAAAGACTCTTGTTTGTCTCTCCATTTAGTTCAAGCTGAACTGAATGGTGAATTTGTTTTCGGTTTTAGGATAGAAGTGAAGTTGCACTGCTGTAAAGGACAGGGGTGCGCTTGATTTATTACCAGACAAAATTATCATCCATATTGTCCTGATGTCATATTTCTTTAAAGCCAAAATAGTTTGATCCTAAACTTAAGGGAGAAGTTAACGGTGTTTCCACCAAACACTAACAAAATGAAGACAGTCTAGCTTTTGCAAAAACAGCAAGACGATTATGCACAGGTGTACATAAGTAAATAAATCATGGCTAATCTCCATTTTGCTGCTTCAGTTTCAGAGTCCTGGGCTATTTCTCACCCGTAAAACACATGCTCAGCATTTTACTAAGAGTGAGCACACTTTTTAGCGTAGATTTGAATAAGATGTGACTGACTGTACTACAGCACTGGTAACAGAAAGAGGTAAACATGACATGGAGATCGTTTTTGTTCCGTATCTGGAAATTAAAGCCACTGTATGGTGCAGAAAAACTATAAATCGAACAGTAAACAGGAAGTGATTTGGGACATTGTTTTTTGGTAAATATCATCTTTAAAGCAGTGATATCATGAAGTTACTGTCCTGTTAAGGTTTTGGAAGATTTTATCCTCATGTTCTGCTGCTACTCTCCGGGAGAGTTATTTAATCCAATCTTGAGATAACTGTGGCACAGATGTTTGTGTCTGTGCGAGCTTAAAGCTGATATGTGTAGTGGTGTTAAAGTAATATTTGTTCCAGGCATTGTTAAATACTGTGAATTAAGACTAGACAGATGTTGATGACACGGCTTCCACCCTCTCCATTAATTTAGGGATAAGGGGAACCTATTGTGCACATTACGAGCTCTGGGGAGTACACTGGTTGAATGTCTCTGTCAATTCTGACAATTTTTTGCCATTCCTTGCGAACCTTCAAATCACACCAGAACGCAGCATGGTGAAACTACAAGCATTGTCTTAAGTGGATGCAATCAGCTCCAGCTGTACCGAGTGTTAATCCTGGGGTTATACTTGTCAAATATCTCATACTGGGCCTTAAGGCAGCTCTAAGCGATCTTTTGATTGGCTGCCCACCGCTAACAGAAGGTGTGAACAGTAGGTGGCTGGGGCTGATGTGTGCCAGATATGACTATATTAAGGACATGCACTTTAAAAAGCCAGAGCTTTTGGCTCACAGGGATTACTTGCTCAAATGCTGACCTAATTTTTTTTTTAGATTTTTTTTAATTGGCCATTTTTAATATGAGCATCCACCTTGTAATAGTATAAATGTGAAAAAATAAAATAAAATAAATAAAGACTAATAGTCCACTTTGTATTTCCAAACTATCAGAGTGCATTTTTAAGAAGCCTTAAGTTTGTTTTCCAAGATCATTACATGTCCAGAAACAACATATTTGGGCAACAAAAAAACTAGGGTTTTGTTTTTTGTTGCTACAGTGAAAATAAGTAGAGAACGATCAACAGTTTACTTGTTGGTCATGAACAGTTAGCATAAAAGCTTGACTAGTTCTGAGGAAAACAACAAGATAGACCTGTCAGCGATTAGCACCAGGCTCTGATTCACTCACTCTTATCATGACATCCTGATTGTGTGGTATCCCACAATCACTGACGACAGCGTGGGCTCCGTCTAAATGAACTGCACTAATGAGAGCTGACTACTAACACAGAGTGGGAGTGCTAAAGCCAGCAGGGAAGGTGGAGTCATAACCAACACAGGGGGAGGATAGCGAAAGGTTGAGAGAATGAGAGAAGTGAGTCACCCACAAACAAAATCTCCCACGAACTTTGAAAAGCGTGAGAGGACCAGGGCTCGTATGCTTATATCTGGTCGGTGTTAATACTAACAGACATTAATAGAAGGGCAAAGGATTGAGGTGGAGGGCTAACAACTAATTAAAGGTCAGTGGCTTTAAAGTGAGACTTGTAGACCAGACCAATGAAGCAGAAATCAAGCGGTGCAGGTGTGAAACACCACTTTTTTTTTACATTTTAAGTACTTTTATGCTTGTCTGAACATGAAGGAGGAAAGACAATTAGCTTACAGTAGTGCAAAATTTTAAAAAAAAGAAAAAAAAGAAACACAATCAAAGGACAGATACGAGGGTCAAATTTCTGTTGCGGCAATTTCATCAAAGTTGATCTCATTGCCGCTGCCCTCATCATCATCTCTGCTTTCCAGTTCCAAACTGAGCTCCTGCAGGAGCTGCTCCAGCTCTCGGTTCCTGCGATACATCTGCACATAGTTCTGCTGCAGCTGCTTCTGGTAGCGAATTACTTTGTCCTTTTCCTCCTGCCATATCTTGCGCTCCTCCTCAAAGCTTCCCAGTTGCTGCTCAGCTTTTTGACGCTCAAAAGCTAACTCGGATCTCATCCTGTCCATCTGCACCTTCATGCTCTGCAGCGCCTCGGTGTTGCTCTGCCGCTGAGCCTTCGCTTCGTCGCTCTCGTAGGCGAGCAGCTGCTCCTCGGCTTCCTGAAACACCTGACACTGTCTGTTTCCCGGGCCTTGATTGACCAGAGCATCTCGGAGATGAGCCATTTCCCCCTCCAGGCGTCCTACCTTTTCTCTGAGTAGCTCTGCTTCGCTCTTGCGACGCTGAAGCTCATTTTCACACACCTCCAGCTCCAGTGTTCGAGTTCGGATGGTGCCGTGGGCCTCCTGGAGCAGCACCTGGGTGTTGGTCAGCTCGCCACGAGTCTCCCTGAGTTGACCCCGCAGTGAGACGATCTCCCCCACACGCTGAGCTAACTCACTCTGCACTTCCTTCAACTGCTGCTTCAGCAACGAGATTTCCCCAGACTTCTGACAGACCTGAGTGGAGAGAAGCATTTAGGAGGGAAATTCAGTCAATGAAGTGTCGACAAAGAGCTCTGTTGGTTTTGAAGGTTAGATGGTACTACTACTACTACTAAAATGGATAAAGGAGTTGTTGTGCTTTATAGATGAAAGATTTTAGAGAAGGCTAAATAACATTTGTGTCACTGACCTGCTGTTTGGTGGTTTTTATTTACTGTCTTATTTACAGATTTAATGAGGTAGACCTCATCCATAGAGGTAAAAAGTTTGACTTTAAAGGTTTGCAGCTTGTCACTAGTTGGTTTTCCAGATGGAAATTTTTAATACAATACCCAAGCTCTTAAACAATCTTACTTAAACAAATAAGTGCAATGATTCCCATTATCAATCAAACTGACATTTATTTATGCAGACAATCGATTTGATCAGTAATTAAATGTCAGAAAAGAGTGAAAATGGTTCATTTCAGAAACTCTCTCTTGAAGAAAATGTCATAAAATACAACCAAACAGTTTTCAGTCTGAGAGGCTAACGTTTGTGTGTGCAGGTAATTATTTTAGATCCAAAATTAAGTACAAATATTAAGTATATAGCGCTTTTTAGAATAATAATACACTAAAATGTTGCAGAATCGTTAAGAAGGTGTGGAGACTGCTTTGAACTTTAGAAAGGATTTGTATTTTACACAAAATCAGTCAGAATAATTAATATAAACCATGAAATAGTTACTTTTACGTTTTGAACTGACTGAACTTTTTCTTATAAAATATTGGATATTTTTCTTTAAAAGAAGCCTTTTTTTTAAAGTATTTTTTTGTTATCACTAAAATTCATTGGATGACATTCATTTCATTTCATTCACGATTACAGCAAGACATTAAATTAGTGATTTGATTTGCACAGCTCTTATAGCAGTGATGAGTTTAATGAAGAATGAGACGTGGCACAAAAAAAAAAAAAATCACTAAAAGGGCACAATAATACACTTTAAAACTCAAATGTATTTCATGTACTTATTACTACATTATATAAGAGTTTAAAGAACATCCGCTCACCTCCCACTTGGTCTCCTCGAGTCGAGGGCCCAGCTGGATCTTCTCATGCTCATACGAGGTGCAGCGCTCCTCAAGCTGCTCCCTCTCCTTCAGAAGCTGAGCAAAGTCCTCCTGAAGTTTCTTCTTCTCCTGCTGGAGCTGGAAAACCTGCAGCCATAAAAAGAAAAAAGAGAGAGAGAGAGAGCGATACACTTAAAACAATGCTTTGTTTTCAAAAGCCAGCACTGAATATTCTTGTCTGAGGTTCTAACCTGCAGCTGAAGCACCTGCTGTGCACGCTGGGCTTTCTGAGAGGCAACCTGCATCCTGGTGGCACAGCCCTGCCTCAGCTCCTCCAGTTCCAGCTCAAAGCGCTTCTGCTTCTCCTCATAAACCTGTAAAGCAGAACAACCAGTGGCAGAGAGGTCAAAGTTCAGATCTGTGTAAGTTTAGATAAAGCAAATGTCCTGCTTGGATATTTTGTTTGGAGGTCTCACCTGACATATTGCAGCTTCATTCTCATCCAGATTGTCTCTGAGTTGCTGCAGCTCCAGCTCTCTCTCCCTCAGTTTGTCCTCTAGATCCCTTACCACCCCCTCATAGCCTTCCACAGGGCCAGGAGAACGCCCACCAGACCCGCTGTCAGACAGAGGCTGCCCCCGCCCACTTATCGACCCAGAGCCTGTGCTCTTACTGGAGGAGGATCGCCCGCTGTCTGAGTTGGAGTGTCCATGTACAGTCACTGGCGGGGCGCTCTTCATGGGCTCTAGGTGGCCAGCGGAAGCCTCCCCCGACGGCAGGTTGTAGCTGGCAGCACTGTAAGGCGGCAGGCTAGAGAGGGAATTGCGTCCAGAGTCTGATAATGAGCAAGACTGGCTGTTACCACCAGCGGCGTTACGCCCACCACTATAGGAGCTACGCTTCTCAGAGCAGGAGGGCGACACATCTCTGTGGGTGGGGCTGAGCAGGTTCAGGTTGTTTTGGCTTTCTGGCACATTGGCACAATGGCGAGGCGAGAGATACTGCATCGAGGAGCGGCTCTTGGGAATGACGGGTTTGAAGGCAGTGGGCCGCAGCACTGTTTTCTCCATATTCTAGTAAAAAGTAAAAAGAGTGAATTTGATATAATCTAAAGCTTTACAAAGCAAAATTAAGCCTAAACAAAGCTGTGAATAAGTAGTTAAAATATGTTTTATGTGACACAGGCCCTGCTTCTGGGAAATGGAGTCTTTATAGGGCGGACAAAACTGAATGATATGGACCACATATATGGTATGCACTGTGGAGCCTCACACACTCACCTTCTCAAGTTTTCCTGACACTGGGATCAGTTTAGGAGGAGGTCCTCCAATATTTCCATTTAATCCTTCTTTAATCTCGTCTACTTCACTTCCTGGGCTGCCAGGTGTCACATGACTGTCATTCCAGTCACCTATGTAGTCCTCATTCAGATATGTGTAGTTCCCGTTCCCAGTCTCCTTCTCCAGCCCTCTGCTGGACGTCGTGGAGTTCTGTTTTTTGACTGGGGGAATGCTTTGCAGTAACAGATCCTGTTGGGGCGACTCGGAGTCCACGCGGGAAACTCCTGGTGTGGGCCGTCGAACTCTGGCTCCCAGCTCAACAATTGGGCGATGGTCCTGGTAGGGACCAGGGTGGGTGGTGACGAGGCTACCGACAGAACCCATAGGATCCAGAGTGGCCAGTGGCGCGTTGATGGGGGGGGAAGGGGCAGAAGGGTGTCGTCTGCGAGCTCCTCCACTCAGGCTTGGGGTGTGGGGCTCAGCAGATACAGGTAGAGGCTGAACCAGGGCCATGGTGGCAGCTCAGAGAGGTCACTCGTGCTGAAAAAGAACAAATGTGAATGTGTTAAATAGTGACAGACTGATAGCGTTCCTTTTTTCCCCTGTCATGGGGACGGTTTCAAAGAGGGACACTCATAATAAATCTGTCCCAAACTTCAAAATAACTACATCAGCATACTTTATGTTCAAGAAATCCCTGTATGATTTCAAATAGAGAAGAATCGTTACTCTGTTCTCAGGATAAAATCATTCTAATAGGAGCTAGAAATGAGCGCAAGTCAAAGACCTCGCTCTCCCTCGCCAACTCCTCCATCTCTTCCAAGTAGCCAAGAGGTGTAATCTATCCACTCAGTCACCTCCCAGTGAGACCCGCCCAAGAAAAGCTCACTATGAGGTGTCCAGGAGGCCAAACCACTCAAACTGGCTCCTTTCAATGCACAGTATCATCTACTCTGTACCGCTCCCAAATGACCAAACTCCTCAGTCACCCGTCAGAGGAAGGACATTTCAGTTGCTTGTATCCACAATCTGTCTTTCAAGGTGACAGTAGATTTACCAGGACATCAACCTTCAAATTCATCTCACACTTCATAACAGATCTATACAGAGTCCACATGACTGGCAATGCTAGGCCACTTTATCTGTTGACATCTCACTCCAAAGTTCGTCCAAACGGAACAAGACTGAAGTACAAAACTGGAGAAAATATTTTCCCCCCCCACACTAAAACAACGATGAGTGCTAGGGCAAAAACAAACCAATGCCAAATAGGTTAATAAAATATGTAAATGAATCAAAATTAACAACTGTCATCCTGTGGAGCTCCAGTTATCCATTTGCTGCACCATGAAAACATTGTTTTGGCTTAAGAGTAAGTCTCAAGTCCTCTGAAAGCCCTTCATAGGTGATTCCTTATAGAAAAATCTGTTAAATCTTAAAACATTTCCATCAGATGCTTCATGCTTTAATTTTTTGCCATGCATAATTTAACCTTTATACTATGAATATTTAATGATTTACAATCACTCAACTACATAGGAGTGGATCTAAATTTTGCACTTCTTAATTCACATTATTTTTGCCCTCATTACTTAATAAAAACAGGAATTATCCACTTGAAATTTTCACAGCTGATAATCACATTTAACCTTTTAAAATCTGCAGCCAAATCAATTTTACACCGACTCCAAGTGTCACAATCTGAAGCTAAAATCAGACTTTTGTTCAGTGAGATTTTTATGTAACCAACAGCATATCTGCACCAGTTTCATGTCTATGACGTAGATGAATAGAGACATGTATATTTGATCATTCACTGAAGAAAACTTCAAAGAGTACTTTTCTGGGGGGTAAGTTTCCACCATGTAATATAGGTGGTTGGTATGGGCTCAAAATGTGGTCATAAATATTTTGTACTTGTAAAAAAGATTTGTATGTGTAAAAAAGATTTGTGTGTGCGTAAAAAAGATTTGTATGTGTAAAAAGAATTTGTGTGTGCGTAAAAAAGATTTGTATGTGTAAAAAAGATTTGTATGTGCAAAAAGAATTTGTGTGTGCGTAAAAAAGATTTGTGTGTGCGTAAAAAAGATTTGTATGTGTAAAAAAGATTTGTGTGTGCGTAAAAAAAGATTTGTATGTGTAAAAAAGATTTGTATGTGTAAAAAGAATTTGTGTGTGCGTAAAAAAGATTTGTATGTGTAAAAAAGATTTGTATGTGCAAAAAGAATTTGTGTGTGTGTAAAAAAGATTTGTGTGTGCGTAAAAAAGATTTGTATGTGTAAAAAAGATTTGTGTGTGGACAAGTACGGATTTTTGACCCTATTTTTCTACCCTTCATCTGATTGGTCAATGTCATGTCAATCACAAATGTAACAATCCAATCAGAGAACAGATGGGTTTGGCTGTCGAGGGGCGCTTTTTTTGAACTGCAGGTCTTTGAAGGGAATAAATGCCCTTTTACATGCCAACCCAGCGTTTTCCTTCATCACCACGAAGGAAAACAGTCTGTGGTTGTCCGAGTTTGGTGATTTTTATGTCACAGGTCTACGTGTTTAATACAGGGACTTCCACAGCCTTTTCAACAGCGCTGCGGACCGCGGGGTGGGGGCGGGCAGTGTTTTGGAAATGACAGTCTTCATTACAAAGCTTTCTTCGTTATGAATTAGCATACATGTTTTTATTGAACATTTGAAGAACTAGCAAAAAAAACAAACTCTTGTAGAGGACATAAAGTCAGAGATAGAAAAGACAAGGAGCAGGTGCATCTAGTACAGGTAGAGCAGCTGCAAAAACCCACAGAGCCCAGCAGCCAGCGTAACAAATTCTGGATCCTTTGCTTTTAGTTAGCAGTTAGCATTAGCAGCGTATCCTGCATCCGATGTGAAAGGACTTTTATGCTGCGCACTGTGACTCACAGTAATGGTCCTGGGTCAGCCCTGACTTTGTGTTAAACTAATCCTAAAGTAATAATGTTATTTCTAACCACTGATATACCACAACTTTTTCCTTTCAACAGCTACTGAAAGTTAGGGGACCTAGCTGCTATCGGATATTTATATAGCGATCCTCCAGCTTCAAACGGTATCACCCTTCAAGGACCTGCAGTTCAAAAAAGCGCCCCTCTGACAGCCTAACCCATCTGTTCTCTGATTGGATTGTTACATGTGTGATTGACATGACATTGACCAATCAGATGAAGGGTAGAAAAATAGGGTCAAAAATCCGTACTTGTAACTTGCAGGGGGTTTTTTTCTAAGTCCACATACAAATCTTTTTTACGCACACACAAATCTTTTTTACGCACACACAAATCTTTTTTACACATACAAATCTTTTTTACGCACACACAAATCTTTTTTACACATACAAATCTTTTTTACGCACACACAAATCTTTTTTACGCACACAAATCTTTTTTACACATACAAATCTTTTTTACGCACACACAAATTCTTTTTACACATACAAATCTTTTTTACACATACAAATCTTTTTTACACATACAAATCTTTTTTACGCACACACAAATCTTTTTTACGCACACACAAATCTTTTTTGCGCACACACAAATCTTTTTTACACATACAAATCTTTTTTACGCACACACAAATCTTTTTTACACATACAAATCTTTTTTACACATACAAATCTTTTTTACGCACACACAAATTCTTTTTACACATACAAATCTTTTTTACACATACAAATCTTTTTTACACATACAAATCTTTTTTACACATACAAATCTTTTTTACGCACACACAAATCTTTTTTACACATACAAATCTTTTTTACAAGTACAAAATATTTATGACCACATTTTGAGCCCATAGGTTGGTTAAAGCAAGCTGGAGCGCACTTACTTTCTTACCATAATTCCTTCTATATCAAAACAATTTTTAATATAGTGATTTTTTTCACACTCTCAACTGAAGCTCAAGGCTGTGAAATGGAGAAACGACACAAGTGTTCACATGTTATGGTTAAAGTTTCAGCATATCCTTTAAGAAGTTTCTCAAAAACCTTGTAGGCCCTTGCTCAAAGAGGGTCTCAGGATCAGGAGGCTGAGCAAGTAGATGAAAACTGCAACTGCATGTTCCCCTCTAAAGTCATTTCATCTTATTTGGTGTGACTGACTCTTCAGTGATAACTGTCATAGTAAGGGCAAGGTCTTATATTAAGCCTTATAAAATCAAGTCGAATCTTAAGTACTTAAAGACAAAAATCAGTCACTGTCTGAGTGCAAACTAGCAAAACATGATAATCATAGCATTTTTCTATCAAAGGCTTCGTTAATAGTGTTTTCAAATAGCTGTGTCAAAACCTGTTGCTATAATATTTATTGATCTTATTCAGCAACTAAAGAAATGAGCTGAACTGGCATGTTTTTCTTTAAGACCTAACAAGAAGTGATTGCAGCATTCAAATCTCCCCACAGGGTTTCTTTCAAGGAATTTTTCTCACAGTGCCTATGACACAGACAACACAGAGATGATATACAGTAGACTGAAGGATACAAATATCCCACAAGACCATGGTGGGCCACACACAGACAGCCAGGGACAGGCCATTCATTATATCCATCCAAGCAGCACAAACAGGGCTTGAGGCATGGGGCAGCACAAGGAAGGGGTCTCTCTTCATTTGAGATGTAAAATGCCTTGTAACATGCTGGCATTTTTCCCTGACAGCAACAAAGGCTACTGTCTCCACACATCTTATCAGCCTTAGGAACAACTGAAAAGTTCATAACTGTAGATAATACCACAAAAGGTAAAACACTGAGAAGAGGAGACAGGTTGAACTTGGCGTGGTACTTCTGCAGTGGGTGTTTAAAGCTACTAAGTAAAGGCAATAATACACAGAGAACAATTTTTAAAAAGCGTGACAGACTTACTTTTTCACTCCTTCAAACGTCTGGTGGTAAATGTTGACATTATAACAGCAGGCACAACAGACTATGATATCAACAGTTTATTCCCGGCGCTGCCCAGCAGTCGAGCGTGAAGAACAATGGACAACAGGACGCCTGATGATGAGATCATGGTGTACAAAAACCAACAACGGAGCCTCTTGTAGACTAAAAACATCATCACAGTGAGTCAGACTGTCAGGATATCCAACCTGTGGGTGTGTCGTCGCCTTAAGTTTCAGAGAAGTCATTTAAAGTATGACAGGAATTCAGTTTTCACTACGTCACTCACACGTTTTTGGTAATCAGCCGTTGCGGTCCAAGGGTGTTGTAATGATTTACCATTATGGGGTTTTCTGTGATATTGCTGTGACTCTTGTTATGATTTTATATTCTAACCTTCACAGTGTCCTTTGTTTCTGTGTGTGGTTTAGCGTGTGTGTGTGTTTCCTCCCTCCCTGTCTGTCTCCACCTGTGTTGTTTACATGCACCCATGTCTCTTTTCCCACCTGTTTTCTAATCCCTAGTAAGGCCTCAGGCCTTTCGACCACATGTAAACGGTGTTTTAAGTCACTCAAAACTTTTTTCTTCTTTTTTTTAAAGCTAACACCAAATAGGGAGATGTTCA